CAGCTAGTCTCCATGCAGTCTCCACGCAGACTTACTATGAGACTGTAAACGGATCACAGAGCAAACACATGGACTACCTGTCAAGACACATATTCAGCCTCAGAAAGGAGAGAACGTCAAATGAGAACATCTTGCAGGCCAGTTGAAAATACCCCAACCCAGAAAAATCAAGGAATTTTCCTGAACAAAACTTCTTAATGGTACAGTTGGTTGGGAGCGGACTGTTATATATGAACACGAGGCAGAAGGAGCACAGGGAAGCGGACGTGGGGCTGTGTGTGGGGAAGAGTGAAAGGGGCATATGCCCTGCAGGAGCTGGCTGACACTGACACACATGGGCAGTGTAGTGAGATGAATCACCTCCTTCTGAAGAAGGCTGAGACGTCATGTGCAATAGAAAAAGGGAAAGTCATCAGAAGATTTTTTGATGTAGGGAGTATGGCTGGGTCATGTTTTCCACTGATCTAGCCCTTTTTAGTATCTTCCAAGCTTTTTGTAGTGTACCTTGTTCCTTTCTTTTATGAATAAGAAAGGGAGACAAGATGTACATCAAAAAAGAAAAAAACAGCAGAGCAGTCTGGATTTTCTTTCATAATTAGGAGTGTCTAGGAGAGCACTGTTTTGGTGAGCATGCTTCAGGAACGACAAAAGGAGGTGCTGGGAAAGGTGGGTGTCTGGAGTGAAGATTGGGTAAAAAGGCTGGCTATGGGTTGTAAGAGGAGAGGTGACAGGAACCTCCGTGCTCACGTGTTGGGGGGGGCAGAAACCAAGGAAAGATTTAGGAAGAGCATTTGTAGGGTCTTGGTGACTGAGAACATGTGGGAATGAGAAAGGGGGAGAGGCACACAATGCAGGATTTCCAGCTTTGCACAGTACCACTGGCAAGAGTGACAAAGAGAAGTTCGTGGGACCAGGGAGCTGTGTGGTTCCTGGACTTTGGAATGCACTGCCACCTGGTGCTAAATAGTTCTCTAGGGCCACTCACACACACACACATACACACACACACACACACACACACACACACACACACACACACACACACACACACAAAAATCCAGGGAAGTCAAAGAAAGACATAGTTATGCTTAGTATCCACAAGCCAGCCAGTCGCCACCTGTGGGCATCACTCTGCAAAAGTATTTGAGGTTAAGCAATTAAAGCAACCCCAAGAGCACCTCTGGGGTCTTCTAAGATGTTTCAGCTGAGCCAAATCAATGCAACTCTTTTATGAAAAATTAATTTCTCTGGAAAACAAATTTGGGTTCTAACCAGGAGTAACATTTGGCAAAGCGTCATTAAGAAAGCTAGTGTTTAGAGAAGTTGGGAAAACAGCAAATCATTGAACAAAGTAAACACTGAGAATCCAGGGCCATTTTAGGGCCCTGACAGCTGCCGTTTCCATCTGCTGGGGATCCTGAAGCCACAGGTTTGTTTTAGGATGTCGCTGGCACTAGCTCATAGTCTGTCCTAGCCTCCCTTGCAGTGTTTGAAAGGAGAGACAAATAGAAGATGGCTCAGAGCCCAATTCCTGTCCTTGTTCAGTGTGTGAAAGACATTGACTATTAACAACTAGATCTAAAGGAAAAGCCCGTTGGCGGTCACATCTTGATAGTCAGCCACAAAGGGAGCGGCCTCGGCACGAGCTGAGATTTCCTCTGTGGTTGTTTCATTGGTGCAAATGTTCAAGTATCTCTTTTTGCTCTAAAGTTCCATCATTTGGTTCTTACTTTATCCTCATCTGGAAGTTAGCTATCTAACATGACCCTGCAGGCTGGGGCTTCTATGGTACATCTCTAACAGATCCTGTCAAAATGCAGGTTCAGTCATCTGCAGAGGGCCTACAGGCCTGCATTTCTAACACACTGTCCACCTATGACGCTGTTGTTTGCAGATCACATTTGAGTGGCAAGGCTGTGGAGATCTTTGAAAAGTCCAATCCAAAAACCTCGAAACAGTACTAGAGTCACCCTTTAATTTTAGTAAATGGGGACACTTCCTATCTGTGTTTGTTATATGAATCACATAATTGTTGTGTGTGTGAAATACTGCCTTAAGCACTGCGTGGGACACAGAGGAAGGCTTTCCCCGAATCTGCTGCTTATGCTTTTTTAATTTGGAAAACACGCTGCTACAAATGCCCTCTAGGTCACTGTATGGGGCTGGGCAGAGCGGCTGTGTATCCTTTGGGGAAGATGTGACTATTTCCCTGATGACCAAACATCCCCAGGAACTTTAGTGAGGGTATCAACAGTGAGGCTGAGGCTAATCACATGCCAGCCCCTCTCCCACGGAACCAGAACCATTTCTTTCTCAGGATCCCCTGCAAGGAACTTGTTGGAACTTTTAGCTTGTCTCTTGCTGCTGAAGGCCCATTGTGATGCAATGCAAAGTTATTTTCAGAAGCTAAACAGCTTTTGATGATCTTGTATGTGCCACAAAAGACTAAAGTAGTCATTTTTCTAAAGAACCTCCAAAAGTCTAGTAATTATTGTTCCAAACAAGTCTCATTTTCTCCTGTTTAGATCTAACATGGAAGGAAAGGAAAAAACAAACAAACAAACAAACAAAAAACCCCCAAAACCAGCTCCTCAAATGAAAGGTCTCTATTGTTTGCCCTGGTGGCTCCAGGTCATGTAGGGATGGAGGACCTGCCCCCTACCCCCAGCAGCATCACCCAGCTCTGAAGCAGCAGTTACCATGCTGGCAGAGTATATTTACATTCATGAGCTCTGCTTTTTATGGTTGGGAGAGGGGGCATGTGTGTGTGTCGGAGCATGCCGTGGAATTTTTTTAATATCTAAACAGTAACCGAAGCATTACTGTGAGCTCCTCATTGAGCTCATGGAAAAACTCAAGTAATCCAATGTTAGTTTTATAGAGAGGGGAGTGAGGACCAGTGAGATCACTTGCCTTGCTGAGAGCCTCTTCAGGTCTCTGGTGTGTGTGTGTGTGTGTGTGTGTGTGTGTGTGTGTGTGTATGTGTGTGTAGCTGGACTAGAAGGCATGCTTTCTAGACCCTTCTCATGGGACGTTTTCTAGGATTGGTCCTGCAGTTGACTCAGGGTGTCTTCCAATGTACTACACCAAGCACTCAAATTCAGAGAAGTGTTCTGCTCTCTGATGGAGCAGATGCTATTTGGATCTGCTTTGTGTGCAGCAATTTTCTCTGTAAACAGCTTCCCTCCAGGCCACTCTCCTCCCACGGCAGCTCCACACTCTCCATTTCTACACCCTCAATTGTCAACACCCTTCATCTTCTTTATGGACCTCTCTGGGCTTGTGCCTCCTCTCTAGCAGGTCATCACATACCTCTTGTTCCACATGTCCTCACTGGAGAATGATTCCTATTCTCCCGTACCCCCCTCACCCCCAATCCAGCTGTCTGACGTTCCACTTAGATGAATCACATGCACCTTAAACCCATCATGTTCCAAACCACTCATCCTCTCCTGGCAAACTATACCCACCTCCATATTCTCCACACTAAAAATGGCAGCACCATCCACTACTAAACCAGAATCACCCTACTCGTCTTTGACTCTTCTTTCTACCTAACAAGAAGCAACTGAAGGGAGCGAGATTTATTTTGCTCACAGCTCAGGGGATACAATCTGTCTGTGTGGGAAGGCATGGCAGTGGGAGGCTGCTTGCTCACATTTCCTGGGTCAGGAGGCAGGGCATGGAGAATAGGGCACTCACCTGGCCTTCTCCTTTTCATTCAGCCCATGGCATAGTGCCACCCACATTCAGGGAGGGTCTTTCCATTTTGGCTGGTCCTTTTTGGAAACACCATCATAGACACTCAAAGCTGCACTTCCCTGATGCCCTAGGTTCTTTTTAATCCAATCTAGTTGGTAATCACTTAACCATCACATATAGTCCCCTGTTCCTCTAAGAATATTACCTCTTAGACACATCTCCATCACCTTCCTCTCCAGCCTCATCTCTACTGCAATAGTTCAAGGTCACTGATCTTCCTGCCTCTCACCTTGCCTTATTTAATCTGGTCTTCTCAAAGCTTGCTCTTGACCTGTGGGCTGTCGGAGCTACTTGCTTGCTTCCACCTCGGGACTCTTGACTTGGCTCTGCCTTCCTCCCTATCCTTCTCTCTATGCCTCAGGCTCCAGTTAGCTGGTTATGAACTGCCTGGATTCATGCTTCCTTTTGCTTAGTTAAGTCCTTTTCATCCTTCAGCACTCAAAGCAGATGCTATTGGGCTCTGTCTGGGCCAGGTGCCTCCTCTGAACTTCTGAGGTCCCAGCTGCCCCTCTCTCCATGGTATCCTGTTTGTTTAGCCCAAGAGCTCTCCAACTGAGAGCTCATCCCCAGGATGATAAACTGCGGCTGGTGACTACTCATCTCCTTGCCATGTGACTGTTTGTTTACTTGCTCTGCGTGCCTCCAGGGCAGTATTCATGTCTTTTCTATCTCTTTGCACCATCTACCTGGCCTTGACTGATTTTTACTGAAGCAGGGTGGGGTTTCTTGAGTGCCAAGGCGTGAGGCCCACCCTTCCTCAGGTTTCCAAGGGTACCTTAAAGCCTAAAAGACCTGGGCCCCTCATTTCTCTTTTCTGTCAATTGGGAGATTAGTTCCTCACCTGCTCCTGCATTAGCCTGGCTGGTCTATCTAGATCACAGAGGCCAGTCCAACAGGCCAAAGCTTGGGGAATCAGTCCAGCCTCTGGCTTTCGGTAGTGCTGTGAGTCAGCCCAGGTAGGCATCTGGACTTAGGGTATGCACACCCAAGCAGGGAGTGAAGTTTGAGATGAGCCTCAAAGCCAGGAGCCCCTCACCTCACCGTCCCCACTTGGAGCATCCGAGGTGGGCTTCCTCAGGACCCGCACTTAGTGTGAACCCACTTGTCCTGTGGGGCGAGAGGAGCGTGTGAGAGAGCAGGCTGGGCGGCACCCGAGCGGCGGCCTGGGAGGCGCCAGCAGCAGGGCCTCCCTCCCACCCCGGCCTCCCCTTCCCCGCCCTCCCTCCCGCCGCTACTAAACCCGGCGCGCGCGGCTGAGGCGCCCTCACTTCCCCGGAGCCTCCCGCGCGTGCTTCCGTCGTGGGTCCGCGCGTGCTCCCGCTCCATGGCGCTCCTCGTGCGGCTGCTGACCCTAGCCCTGACCCTGGTCCTGGGCCCCGTCGCGACACTGGCGGGCCCGGCCAAGTCACCCTACCAGCTGGTGCTGCAGCACAGCCGGCTCCGGGGCCGCCAGCACGGGTAAGCTCTCACTGTCCCCTGGAGGGAAGGCGGAGGGACAGGTCGCCAGGCTCGGAGTTCATGCCACTGGCCATATCGTAACAGGCCAGCGGTGCAAAGGACGCAGCCTGAAAGAAAAGCAGGCAGAGGCCGGTGCTCAGATGGACCAGCCCCGCACGTGGTGGAGGGAAGGACATGCGGGATGGTGGGGGAAAGCAGCAAGATCTCTTGGTGGAGGAAAGAGTTGGGGAGCTGACCAGTCACTGCAGTCAGACCAAGAGCATGAGGGGACTGAAGGGACGGGGACGAGGGGACTAGAGTGCTTCCTCCCAGCGCTAGCTAGAAGGGGGCGTTGGCAGCTCTCTGCCCAGAATCATCATTGCCATAAGAAGATGCCAGAGGCAGAAAGGAGGCTCAGCCAGCAGTACAGATCCGCCCAGCCCTGTCTGGTGATTCCAGGTGTGAGACTGTGGCCACACCAGGTAGCAGGACCCAGAGTACCCCTGTGCACCGGGCCAGGCTCTGCGCCCACTACTTGGCACCCAACAGTGCTTTCTGGCTACCACAAGAGTGTGTGGCACCCGGCACATGAAGAGCAGGAGAGTTCACCTAGCCCTTATATATGTTCTACAGATTGGGAACCTGAGTGCTGAGAGGGCACAAGCCTGTCCTGCAGTATGTGCTGGGGTCAGACAGACCTGGAGTTTGCTTAAAGCTGAGGCCAGGTTTGTAAATGTGGGGCCTTACCGCTGCCGATGTTCCTTTGAGACACTACCCATGTGTGGGCTCTAGGAGACAAACCCAAGCAGAGGGTATGGACTGGTGAACAGCCTGGCACAGACCCAGGTGGGGGTATGGCCTGGTAAACAGCTGGCAAAGACCAAGCAAGTGGGCAGTATCTCTGTACACAAAACTAGGCCATGCCTGCTTCAGTGTAGCCAGATGTCACTGCAGCTTCATGTCTACCTGGCTGCACCACCGTCTTTTACACAGTAGGTAAAATTATGTGGAAAGAGTTGAGTAGTGACTTTAGGGGAAGCCCAGATGGCCCTGCGGTCAGGTATTCACCCAGGAAGTGTGCAGTTCTCCAAGAGTCTAGACAGATCTGTACTCAGATTAAAAAAAAAATTCCTGTGGGCAGTGAGGGGCTGATTGACTTTGTAGGTCCTGACAGGACTGTGGCTCCCACACTGGGTGTGCATTGAACATGGGTAGAGGCTGTTGCTTTTAGGGAGCAGTTACCCTTCTTCCTTCTGCATGGGGCTTTCAGGTCTCTTGGCTTCTTGGGTGTTCAGTGCTTTGGTAGAAACAGGTGGGTGTGGGCTACGCATGCAGGTCTGGCCACTTGTAGAATAGAGTGGATCTGAATCATGCCACAGCCTCAGCACCTCCTGAAAGGAGGAGGGCACTGGGGAGTCCTGGGTTCTTTAGGGAGAGAGTGAATCACCTTCACTTAAGCCATATGCTGGGAGGGCAGATAAGATCTGCCTACAGGGTATTAAGGTGCCCCCAGCTCCTGTGCACTTGCCCTCAAAGCTAAACTGTGACAATTGGCACATCTGTCATCCTGCCTGGTTCACCTTTAGTCCCTCTGCCTTTCTGGCATGTTGTATGTGGGTGCCACACACACCCTGGAGAGTTCTCTTCCTCCTTCCTTTCAACCAGGGAGGGGAAGATCCGCACTGCAGCACCATCACTCACTCCGAACAGCAACTACACAGCTACAGGGAAAGGTCTCCAAAGAGCCACTTCTGAAGCAAACCTTCCCTTCAGAGCCCAGAACAGACACTGACCACTGGGGAAATTGGGCCTTTTTAAAAAGATTACATGCAGACTGGCAAGATGGCTCAGGGAAGGTGCTTGGGGCCAAGTCTGATGACCTCAGTTGGATCACTGGGACTCACATGAAAGGAGAGAACCAACTTCCACAAGTTGTCCTCTGACCACCACACAAAGGTGTGGCATGTGCTTGCCTCTCCCCCAAACACACAATGAATAAATAAATTAAAAAAAAAATTCAGATGCTCTTTGGGATGTGTTTCAGATTGAGACCTACTTCTCTGACATACACCCACCTGTTTCACTCCTGCAGTGCAGTTGGCAAAACTTGTAATGGGAAGAATGATCAAGGTATAACGTGCTGGGCAAGGTGATGCATAACTCTACTCTTGAGGCAGGGGGGATGGAAAGTTCAAGATTATCCTGGGCAATCTAGGAAGACATTATCTCAACACAAAAATAAGAAAACATCACAAAAGAGGAAGAAAAAATGTCACCACAATATCCCTCCTCCAGTGGAGTCTGGATGCCCAGACACATACATGAGCTGTGGCAAAATGGTTGCAGGCACAGGCGCATTCCCTCTGATCTGACTGTCCCTGTGAAAACATGGGACTGTCCGGCCTGGCACACATGCGTGTGGCATATCTGTCTGTTGGTGGGTAACCTTGCTCAAGCTCCAACTCTTTATTCAAAGTGAGAGCTGATAAAAAGGGAAGGAAAACTTCTTGCAAGTTTAGGGAAATACAGGGTGTCCCATGAGGTGAGGGAGATGATCATTGTGCTTTGCTACTGCCACAGCACTGTGTCACCTGGCACCCCACCCCTACACAGTGACAGCCATTGTCATGTTCCTATTATACAGATAGTGAAACTGAAGCTTGGGGAGATGGATGGGCTTTGTGCAAACACAGAAAACTGGAGAGGGTAGTGGTTACTTTGAGCTCCCAGCTGCATCTGTGTTACCTTAAGAAAGTACTGCAGGAGAAATAAAAATCAGCCACAAACTGACTGGACTTCCCAAAGCTCTTAGTCTTCGGCTCCAAATTGAAAAGCAACAATGCTGGTCTTGAGGCAGAATCCCAGAAATGGCTTGCTCGTTTTGATTACATTTCGGGATACACTTCCTGTGTATACAGCTCACATCCAATGGGAGAGGAGGAGGGTCATCACAGCCCCCAGCCTCTGCTCCTGTCACAGGGGGCAGGAGTGGAAATGCACTCTGCAGAGGAATGTTGGAGTCACATCCACAGAGACTCACTGAAGATCCTGAAGATCCGCCAACCGCCTACAGAAAGCTGCAGGGAATTCATCGACAGTAATTATTTCCTGTGTCGGGGACAGGAGAACTTCTGAGTTTGCGGGGCAGTAAGGAAGATTTAGGCCTGGAGTGTGGCCCATGGGAGCTTTTCACAAGATTGCTCAGGGACTCCGAATCCGTTGAATTGCTGACTGCAGAGAAGCCAGCTGTTTACAGAAATCCACAGGGCCTCTACGCTGCTGGTGAGAGCCAGCTAAGGTGGCCTGTACCCAGCCTTCCTTCAGCTGTGATCACCTGTCCAGCCTTAACCCTCTTCGCCCTCATCACTTCCTGAGCACCATGCCTCCTCTGCTCACTTATCTTTACCTCTTGAAAAAATAAAATAAAAAGGACAAGAAACAGGGCAGAGAATTAAAGGGTCAGAATGAACAACTATGCAGTCGCCTGACTCTGGATACTTGACAACTGACCACATTCCAACAATCCAGATGGGGTGCTAGCTGTAGCTCTCAAAAAATCAGTGTCTTCCAAAAACATGCACATCAAAGGATTCTATGAATTGCAGGTAGTTAGATGTTAGCTAAAACAGAGTCACAGAGTCTAATATTCTAGCCCAATAATTCACTATGGAGCCCTTGATTGCCTGAACTCACAGCAATTCTCCTGCCTCAGCTTTGCATTCTTTATTAAAGTGTTATAACTTATTTTTATGTGTATGAGTATTTTGCCTGCATGTGTTTAAGTGTACCACGTGCGTGCAGGGCCTGCAGAGGCTAGAAGAGAACATTCATTTTCATTCCCCTGAAATGAATTACAGACAGTTCTGAGTCGCCATGAGGATGCTGGGAACCAAACCCTAGTCCCCTGCAAGAGCAGCAGGCACACGTAACAGCTGAGCCGTCTCTCCAGCCCAGCCATGCATTGTTAAAGTAGTGAGAATTGATAATTGATATTGAAGAAACTGTCCGCCTTTCAATGACACCTGAAGCTTTGTGAACACAAATGCTTGTGAATACCCTCCACCTGTATTTTTTTCTTTTTCTTTTTTTAATTTTTTATTGTTATTCTTTTGTTTTATTTTTTCTAGTAAATTATTATTTGTTTTATTAATAAACATAAATCTATACATTTATAACAGTCTCATTCAATACTGTGGTTAGACACAATGTCACAACAAACCATTTTTAAAATTGTTTTTTTTTCAGGATTTACTGTTGTCTTCTTTTTTTTAATTATTTACTTAATAACCACATGATTAGAAGAAGCATTTCATTACAGCATTAACATATTCAATAACAATTTCCTGAGTAAAGATGCATGTCTTTCAATATTGGTTGTAAATTTTTAGGTTCATACTTCAATTAATACAGTTACACAATATTGTACTCGGTATAAACCCTATAAGACATAAAATTAAATGAAGTTTTAAACTTTGAAAAAATATCTTCATTTCATTATTAAAATACAGTTTCATACAGAAAAATTCATTATTAATACAATTGACACTGAGATGCACATGCATTTCTAATCTCTAAATATCTGATTATTTCTAGTCACAGTTGGTTTCTTTCTGAGCTTCTAGGCATCTGAGGATGAATCTAAAGTCATCAGGTAGATTTCAATGGTAATGTTTTTCACATCTACTAATTATTAAGGAGGAAATTTTTATGCTTTGAAGAATTTTTTAAATTTATTTATATACCCACTTCCCAGGTAGCACGCTCCCATAGCCTCCCTACCCCCACTAGAGCCTTTATACTGATATCCCTGCTACTGTCTGCTGTGTTGTCGGCACCCCCAGCCATTCCCCACTACTTGCCCTTCTGGTGAATCTAGTCATCTTATCTAGAGGTCTTTGTTTTAGGAGGGTTAGCTGTTCCTCGTATAGCAGCAATCAGTTGTCAATATTCCTTTGGATAAGATTGGGGTCTGCTGTTCATTTTCC